GGGAAATAGTGAAAAGTGGGCGTGGTTAAAGGGAAATGGGTGTGGCAGTGGGCGGGGCTATGGTGTCACCCTGGGGCTGCAGCTGGCACAGCAGCTCTCAGGGATACACGCGGTAAAAATGGGGGGAACAGGGAAAAATTGGGAAAAAACAGCTAAAAATTGGGAAAAAACAGATAAAAATTGGGAAAAAACAGCTAAAAATTGGGAAAAAACAGCTAAAAATTAGGAAAAACAGGCAGGAAATAGTGAAAAGTGGGCGGGATTAAAGGGAAATGGGTGGGGTGGTGGGCGGGGCCATGAACATCGCTCTGGCACAGCAGCTCTCGGGGATAAACGCGGTAAAAATGGGGGGAAACAGGGAAAAATTGGGGAAAACTGGCTAAAAACTGGGAAAAACGGGCGGGAAATTGGGGAAAACGGGCGGGAAATAGTGGAAAAGTGGGCATGGTTAAAGGGAAATGGGTGTGGCAGTGGGCGGGGCTATGGCGGCACCCTGGGCTGCAGCTGGCGCAGCAGCTCTCGGGGATAAACGCGGTAAAAATGGGGGAAACAGGGAAAAATTGGGGAAAACCAGCTAAAAATTGGGGGAAAAACAGCTAAAAATTGGGAAAAAACAGCTAAAAATTGGGGAAAATGGGCCGGAAATAGTGAAAAGTGGGCGTGGTTAAAGGGAAATGGGTGTGGCAGCGGGTGGGGTCATTAACAGCACTCTGACACATCAGCTCTCGGAGATAAATGCAGTAAAATTGGGGGGAAACAGGGAAAAATTGGGAAAAAACAGCTAAAGATTGGGAAAAATGGGCGGGAAATAGTGAAAAGTGGGAGTGGTTAAAGGGAAATGGGCGTGGTAGTGGGCGGGGCTATGGTGGCACACTGGCGCAGCAGGTGTCGGAGATAAACGTGGTTAAAAATGGGGGGAAACGGCCAAAATTGGGAAAAAACAGCTAAAAATTGGGGGAAAACCAGCTAAAAATTGGGAAAAATGGGCAGGAAATAGTGAAAAGTGGGTGTGGTTAAAGGGAAATGGGTGTGGCAGTGGGCGGGGCTATGGTGTCACCCTGGGGCTGCAGCTCTCGGGGATAAATGTGGTAAAAATGGGGGGAAACAGGGAAAAATGGGAAGAAACGGGCAAAAATTGGGGAAAATGGGCGGGAAATAGTGAAAAGTGGGCGTGGTTATAGGTAAACAGGTGTGGCAGTGGGCGGGGCTATGGTGTCACCCTGGGGCTGTAGCTCTCTGGGATAAATGTGGTAAAAATGGGGGGAAGCGGCCAAAATTGGGAAAAAACAGCTTAAAATTGGGGGGGAAACAGCTAAAAATTGGGAAAAACGGGCGGGAAATAGTGAAAAGTGGGCGTGGTTAAAGGGAAATGGGTGTGGCAGTGGGCGGGGCCGTGACCATCGCTCTGGCGCAGCAGCTCTCGGGGATAAACACAGTAAAAATGGGGAAAACAACCAAAAATTGGGGGGAAGTGATTTAAAATATGGGAAAATGGGATAAAAATAGTGGAAAAGTGGGCGTGGTTAATGGGAAAGGGGTGTGGCAGTGGGCGGGGCTATGGTGGCACCCTGGGGCTTTCTGGAGGTGCGGTAAAATGGGGTGTGGCTTAAGAGGGCGTGTCCTGACCACGCCCCTTTCCTGCCCCAGATTTTCTACTATTCGACGTCCATCTTTGAGGGGGCGGGGCTTCAGGACCCGGCTGTCGGCACCATCGGAACGGGCGTGGTCAACGTGGCGGCCACCGCCCTGTCGGTAAGCCACGCCCCCGGCCACACCCTCCTTGGGGGTGGGGAGGGGTCCTGTGGCACCCTAAGAGGGGGCGGGGTTACCCTGGTTGGGCGTGGTCACGAGTGGGAGTGGCTTCATTGTGGGCGTGGTAATTGTAGGTGTGCTCTCAGGATGGGTGTGGTCATGAGGGGGAGGAGCCTTGTGGATGGGTGTGGCCATTAAGGGAGTGGCCTTACAGTGGGTGTGGTTTAGTGAAGCCCCGCCCCGCAGGTGGTGCGGCTGGAGCGGGCGGGGCTGCGATGGGTTAATGGGGGCGGGGTCTGTGGGTGGGCGTGTCCCAGTGAAGCCCCGCCCCGCAGGGGGTGCGGGTGGAGCGGGCGGGGCTGCGATGGGTGGGGTCTCTGGGTGGGCGTGTCCCAGTGAAGCCCCGCCCCCAGGTGGTGCTGGTGGAGTGGGTGGGGTCTGTGGGTGGGCGTGTCCCAGT